CTAAAAAAAAATGCCATTTTTATTTTTTGTTGTTTGATTTTTTTTTTAAACAAATGACATTTGATAAGATTTTAATGAAAAAAATGAGAAAATATTTTCTTTACAAACAAACAAACAAACAAGCTGTAAATGGAAAATTAAACACTCACCACTTTCAGAAACACTTGAGCATCCGATTTCCACACCGGAATCCGACAAGAGCCCACAACTCCCTCCGGCAGCTTCACAAGGCCAACACATCGGAGACGTCCACGTCAGCAAAAGATCCCCACTCGGGTTCACCGAATCCCTATACACCGCCGCAAATTCAGCCACCGGCGCCGACACCGACGTCATATTCAGGCACGCCGCAGGCACATCCTGGCCGGAAAACGAGTCCGTATCGACAACCATGACCGTGTAATTCGGGTTCTTACTCAGGCAAAACACCGGTTCGAACCGGTGCATCGTGTAGTCGGACCAGTTGTGAGCCGAACAGTTGAGAAACGTGTAGTTTTTGAGGAAAGCAGGTTTGAACGGTGAATGAGAGAGAGAGAGGTTTTGAACCCGGTTCGGGAGACAGAAGTTGGGGTCGTTGATGGAGATCCATTGCTGGAGGTAGTCGATGTGGGTGACTGTGAATTCGCCGGAGTGTGGGAGGGTGAGGACTGTTTGGGTCTGGTTGTTGCAGGAGAGGTCGAAACCCGGGTAGCCGCAGCTGTCGGGTTGGCCGGTTTTGAGGCGGAAGGGGAATCGGATGACGGGTTCGGAGGCGGCGCAGGAGGTGGGTTCGCAGATGTCGACGGATGAAGCTTTGTAGGTGAAGATGGTGAGGGAGGAGAAGAAGAAGAAAAGGAAGAGTGTTGAGGTTTCCATTGGTTGTGAAAGGTTTTTTTTTCTTCACGTTACATTTCATTTTAGTAGGTTGATTTTATTTGATAAAATATTATATTAAGTAATTTAAAAATATTTATTTATTATATAATATCTTAACACCATTTTAATAAATAATTTATTAGTTAAATTGATATAACAGTTTTCATAAAATTATATATATTTTTTATTTTTCATATTTTAATATTTTTAATAAATTTATAAATATTTTAGGCATTTTTTTTAAATTTTTAGATACACCTAACATAAATACACTTAAAAAGTGTAATATTTGTGATTTTTTTTTAAATATACTAAATGCCAAAAAATATTTTTTTAAAAAATACAAAAATTCAATACATTTTTCTTATTTTTGTTTATCTATTAATTTTTAAAAATATTTTTCACAAATATTTTTTCATTTAGATACATCTAAATAAGCTGCATTTAAAAAAGCAAAAAAATTAATTAGAATTTTAAAAATATTCACTAAAAATAAAAAATAAAAAAACTCAGTTTTTAAAAAACTGAATTCAAAAAACTGAAACTAAATATACTGATTTTATGTCAAAATTATTAAATTTATTATATTATTTATAAAATTTTATCAGATGTTAGTGTAATCTACCATAATTTAAAATAACAATATGCAAAAACACGTATTGATATTGACAATGGTAAAAAAGTATCAGAAGAATTGAGTGATACTTATAGAGAATTGCGTGTCCCAATAAATAAATAAATAAATAAATAATTTTTAAAATATAGTTCGATATCAGTAATATATCAATATGATAAAAACTCAATACACATTGAAGAAGAAAATTGTTTAAGAGTTTTAAAATAGTGAGTTGTAATAGTTCTAAATATATTGTAGCTTTAATTGATTTAATATTTTATTTTTTGATTTATTTTATTTTATTTAATTTATTTCTTGTACTGCCCAGCTCATTAGAGCTGGCTTAGTAATCTTTTTTTAGTAGTATATATCACCACCGATTGAAGAAATTGCAGTTTAATGGGATATTGCAAAAATAATTGTATTATAGATGAAATCTTTTTTTGTACAATTTTGACACACAAATAATGACTTGCACTATGCATAGGAACGATTTACACCATGCATTCAAAACATTTGGAAAAATTACACAATAGTCTTGGAGTACCATGTGATTTTTTAATTTATAGTGATTTTTTAACTTTTTGATTAAAAAACTCACATTTTCAAAAAAATAATATTCAAATATTTCATTAGGGAGTGTTTGATAATATAATTCTTAAACTAAATGTACTAAATGATAATCAATTAAATTTGTTTCATAATCACAATTGATATCACTTAAAAATTTAAATACCTCTTAAAATGTATGTTAAAATCTAAAAAAAAATTAATCATATGAAACTTACTTAATTCTAATTGAATTTATAAATACTAGATATAAGTACCAGTATACACTATTATAAACTCATTATCACCACCACCATCATGCCACCGCCACCGCCGCCGCCGCCGTCACCACCGCCACGACAATCACAATTGCTACCACCACCATCATCGCTACCACTGCTACCGCTATCACAATATAAAAATTAAAATATATAATTTGAAAATAATAAATTTTAAATTTTTATACATATCAATCAATTTATTTTTAGTTAAACACTTAAATTTTTATCAAACAATTTTTTAATTTAATAAATTCAGCATTTAGTTTTCAATAATTTTCAATTTTCAACTTTATCAAATAGCACCTTAAGCCTCATTTGAGAACTAAGTATTTTAGTCAAAAAGTCAAAAAATCATTATAAGTTATCACATCACTCTCTCAACTTTTCTACACATTTTTTCGTAAAAAATAAAAAAAATTATTAAAATAACATATTCCCAAACGAGACCTTTAGGCCAAGTTTGGGAAGACTAAATAAGTGCACTTTTTAACTTTTCTTGTATTATGTGTAGAAAAAGTAGAGAGGAAATATTGATTAATGTGACCCAAAAAAGATAAAAAGATGAAATAAGCGTACTTTTTTAGTTTAGCCAAACTTGACCTTAGTCTCATTCTACTAATAGGTTTTAGCTAACGATGGGTAATTACATGGTGAAATGTGTTAACAAAAATTAAAAATTAAACCCATTTATGCTAGTTGAAAATTGGGTTTAAATCCAATTATGAAAATGATTTGTAAACAAAAAAAATTATACAAAAAAAACACATTAAGAATGATAAAATTTTCGTATCATTAATCACCTTGTTAAGGTTGCATTTGCATCAGTGAAATAAGGGGTTGTTTGGGGTGTCTTAAATAAGTGTACTTTTTGTCTTGTTAGACTAAAAAATTGAGGAAAAAAATATGGATGTTTGGGTTAACTCTTTGACTTTTTATAGAAAAATGTGTATTAAAAATTTGTAAAAATTGACTTGTAGAGAAAAATTAGGATTGGAAGTTATGCAGTTGTAATTGTTGACTTTTGGTGAATAGTATTAACTTTTTAACTTTTTGAGTAATTTTTTTACTTTTTAACTTTTTCTTATCTTCCTAAACTTTAATTTCAGAGAGCATGCAATAAATAGAAATTTCAACCTATAGTATTTATGACTAATGTAGTAATAACATATAAGAGGGGGGGGGGGGGGGGGGGTAATCATCTTTCTGTGGTAATTTTTAAAAATAATTACACATCAATGATAAATTTCATAATTTTAATTATTAATCTTTATAATATTTATTATTTTTTATTATGAAATCCACTTTTAAGTTATTTCTCCGGAAAAAATGATAATGTAATAATTCGATCCAAACGTGTCCTTAACATGTTTCATGGAAAAACCTCATTCCATAGGTTGCAATTGGGGCAGGTTTGGCTAGTCAATCAATCATAAATTCAAAAGTAAAAAATAATTAAAAATAAAAATAAACAACTTAGTCAATTAGCATTTCTTGTTATAGTATATCAAGAAATAGCAACATGTACCAAAACAATGGACAATTTAAACTTAAAATAGTAAATCTCCATCATCAATAATTTTTTTTAAAGATTCAAAGGAATGCCTCTTTGATCTTCGTAGTAACCACTACAATTATAATAATAGTATATGGATGTTTATGTAGTTATATTATAACGTTATGTGATACTGCTTGTACAATGTTACAATTAGTTAATTAACAAATTTTTTTACAAGTTAGATATGCTACATCACATTTGTTAGATATTTATGAGATAAACAATAGCTCACTTATTAATGTGTATTGTGGGCTAATTTATCATTGGTTGAAAGTATTAAATAGACAATGTCACGTAGTATTCAAATAGTATTTAATAATATTTCTATAATATTGGGTTTAAAATAAAAGTATCGGAAATGATCATGTCATTTTATAAGAGAATTTTGTGTATAAATTTTATTTACTTCTTTGGCAACAATTTTGTAGTCAAAATTTTATTTTTCAAACTGTTTGACTTTAGTGTATTTCTTATTTTTTTTTTAAATTTTAAGTACTTTTATATTAGAATGCCCTAAAATAAAAAATTTATCAAATTAAAAAAAAGTTCGCTAAATACAAAAATTAACAATATTTTTCTTGTAATTTATGGTCTATTTTTTTGTTTTATTTTTTAGGATGTCTAGTACAGTAAAATTTTAAAAGAAAAAAAGAAAAAGAAAAAAGAAAAAGAGACAAGATATGTAGAAAAGTCGCTAAAAAAAATTCTCATTTATATCATTTGGCAAGTGGTGATTTTAGCCAAAAAGTCAATCAGTCATTAAAAAAACAAAAAGCCAACAACCTATACAAAAAAGTTAAAGATTTCATTTTCTCTCTACTTTTTATCTATCTTTTCATAAAAAATTAAAAAATAATCTCAAACATATTAATTTTTTTTACATTATATTTTATCTAAAAAATTAAAAAATTACTAAAAACATCTATTCCTAAACGAGGCAGCTTGTGCAAAGTATATATATGTGTTTATTCTTTGGGCCTGGAATGGTTTTGTCATATGGGTTATTTCGTGGGCTTTTAAGCCTGATTGGTTTTTTAGCCGCTGATATTGTAAAGCATTTAAGTTTTGTCACAAATGTTTTTAATTTTTAATCTTTAAAGTTTACGCAATGGCATCTAATTAAAAAAGGCAGTTTGTGCAAAGAATACACATGTGTTTATTCTTTGGGCCTGGAATGGTTTTGTCATATGGGTTATTTCATGGGCTTTTAAGCCTGATTGGTTTTTTTAGCCACTGATATTATAAAGCATTCAAGTTTTGTCACAAATGTTTTTAATTTTTAATCTTTAAGTTTTAAGCAATGGCATCTAATTAAAAACAAAATTAACCCATATATTAGATGTTATGGATAATATTTTCAATGGTTCTTAATCTGTAATTTTACATTTATTTTTATAACATATGCAATTGGTTACCTTTCTATGTTATTATCCATTTATACATTGATATCTCTCATTATATTTATTTATATTCTTTCTTATATATATTTTATGATATGTTTGTAGTAATGCTTCGTATATTCTCAATTATTAAATGTTCAATTTAATATTAATCTCTTTATATAAAGGTAACCTTATTTATACTTTCTTTTTATTAAAAGCATTTTATCTTTTTGCCCTTTTTAGAAATGTTGCAAATTTTTAGTTTTTTACACTTTTACTAATTGCATTGATTACCCATTCATTCTCAATCCTTTATACTTTTGATTCTTTCTCTTTAAAAAACAATTTTGACATGTATGTAAAATTAGATAACAAGCACAAATGTATAAAAATAATTTCAATAAAAATGAGAGTGCAAAAACCAATACTCTCCTATAAACCCTTTTACTAGATGAAACTAACTATATCAATTTATATAATAAAATAGATTAACAGAGTTAAGATTTAATAAAATTGGCTATCATAAAAATTGTCGTATGTACATCAATAAAGATTAAGATCAAATAAACGAATAATTAGCGTTGTTTTATGAATAATAAAGTATATTTTGGTAGATACATAAAATGTTCAATTTCTATATCTATATTATATACAACTCCAATCTATTGGCAAAAAAATGTGCATAGATTGAGGGCAAAGAACTCTAAAAAAAGTGAAAAAATTAGGAGGGAAGGGATTACATTTTTTTTTGATTTCATCAAAAAAGTAGACAACCTTCTATTATGGCGGGAAAATGTCCACGGAGTCCCTAGTCTCATATAAAACCCTAACTCGTCTTCAAGACCCACATAATCTCAACCCTCCTCACTCCTCTCTGCGATCACCTTCTCTATTGTTTTCACCGATAAATTGCTGCCCTAACATGTCTCGAAAAGCCATGTTCGACCTCTTTTCTCGAAGAATATAGGTTTTTTTGGCTCTGTACAACAGTCCTCATCAGTTGTTTGGGGTTTGTTCAATCGAATTTGGGGCTTTCACTGAGAAAATTTGTTTTTTGATCTCACTTGGATAAAAATGGCTGATGTGTTTGAAGAGGAAGCTGAAGCTGAGCCCACGGTTTCAATCCACGAGTACCTCAAGGATGTTGAGGATCAGGAATTGGTAACCTCTCTGCCTTGTTTAAAATCCTAGTTTTTTTTGGTTCGGTTGCATGCAAATGTTTTGATGTTTTATATTATTTCCTTACTGTGTGTTTGTTTGCTGAGAAAATGGAGGAAAGATAAGTAAATTGAATTCTGGAATGAGGGATTTTTGGTTTTTTAAGGCTGTATTTGGTTGGGGGATTTGGGAAGGGAAAGGAAAAAGATAGTTAAAATATGAATAAATATGCATGCATTTTACCTAGTTTCACACACTTTTTCCCTCTCTTTTTCTAAATCACTCATCAAATCCCCCAGCCAAACACAGCCTTAGGTGCTGAGGAAACCGAGGACTTACTTCTTAGCTTTTTGTTGGATTGGATTAGTTAATTGGAACCCATAATGCTCACAGTTTAATTAGATTTTATGCCAATCAAATGGTTCTATTGGTTCTTGCCCAATAATTTTTTTTATTATAAGTTAGTGTTTGTTGGGCAGAGGATTGCTGAATGTTTAAAGGTCACTTGGTTTACTATGGTTTGCGACAGCTTCTAATGCTTACTGCACTATGAAACAAGCTAGTTTGTTCAATTGTATATGGATGATCAAATACTTAATGGCTCTGTTTCTGGTTAGTTTGTTCAATTGTACGAGAATCCTAATGCCCTATTAATGTGTTGTCACCTCAAGTTAACAAATTTTATCCCAATTACATGGACCCATTTGGCTTTATCTCTACTCAGTCAAGTTCATGGCAATGATGTCCTTTTTTAATATGTTAAACCATGCTCTCCTTGGCCTTCCTCTGTTATCTATTTTTGCCCTCAATGTGAATCAAATTACTCCTTGCTGGAGTGTGTGTTCGTTTATGTTGATCTCGAAATGTAAATTATGAATATGGGGAAGAAAATAAAGTTTTGGGATTGAAAGCAAGTTCTAAGAATATGCAATATTTCTTAAGAGAGTTCTTGAAAATTATGATTTTTTGAAGAAAGGATTGCTTACTCAGGTATATGTGATTATGCACCTCCAGTGATGTGGCAGCCTCTTATTCTTTTATTTCTATTTATTTTTGGTTTACTTGTTTATTGTATTTGTTTTCTCTTGCTAGAAGATTGGAATTTATTTTGCACAATGGACACTAAGCTCAGAACATCGTTTATAATCCCATACGATTCCAAAGATCACTTTCAATATTAATTTGCTTACTATCCAATTGAAGAGTGAGTGTATGATATCATATAGTTTTTAGTTTTGAGAAATAAGTTAACAACCTGGTTTTCAGTCTGGTGGTAAGCAGTCTATTTTTTGGGATTTTTTCCAAACTGGTTGAACTAATCCTTTTTGCAATATTAGAATTGTATTTACTCCTAGTCATCTGCATTTGACCGAGCTTGATGGATTTAAAAAAAGACCACCTATGGTCCCCATAGTCTCCATTTTCCATCTTGTGCTCTTTAATATGGTAATTCTTTTAGTCAAGCTAGTTGAAAACCCACAGTTTGAGTCCATCAGAGGCCAGCCCCTGCACAAATCTTCTCTGCCTACTCTAGATGTTGCGCTTTCAGAGCTTAAAGCCGAAGAGATTTGTATGCGAGTCTTGGCAGAGGTTGATAAAAAGTAACATTGAAGGAATTATATCATTATCTTTTTAAAACTGTTATGCATTCATGTAAGTGAGAAATTTTTATCTAAAATGAAACGAAGGTCATTGTTATAACTTATATTATTATATAATAGCTTGTGTTTATATCTATTTGTATACACGCACAATAGCATGATTATTATCATCATCCATTAAAAATTAGGACTTACGGAATTACCACTATAATTAAACAAGTTACTATGAATTGCAAGAGTGTAAACAAAAAAATAGAAGATTTATATGACATTTACATTAGCCAACAACTCAATTATTATTTTTTTTTTTGAATAATCGAGAATTGATCCTAGGCCCACCCACCCCAGGAGCACAAACTTGGGATATGTGTGTGTGATCACCCACTAGCCTCACATATCGGGCAAAATAGGACATCATAACTTGAACCTAAGACCTCATGGATAGAACTTATACAACTTATCAGTCGAATACCCTGATGGGTTACAACTCAATTGTTATCAATTATTGTTAAGGGAAAATATAAAAATGAAAGGCTGAAGACATACATACATGGAAATCAATATCTTTTTATATAGTATAAACTACATATCTAGTACAAAAATGGAAAGAAATATTCCTATAAATGACTATTAAAGACATAATAAAATAAAAAAAATGTGGTAAACAACATAAAATTTACTAGCATATAAGTTAAAGGCCAAAATCGATTTTAATTCATATAAGATATAAGTTGGATTATTGCTAATCAAGAAAAGAAGGTATAATTGGGATTATATGGGTAAGTTGCATAGAGAAGATTATGAAATAACACATAAATAAGTAAGAGCTCATATCGTGAACATTTATGAAAGAGTTAAAAAGATATGAAGACAATTGAAATTTGCCTTGGACATAATTGATTTTCAATTTGAGGTAAAATCATAAAATTAGTTAAAAATATTAATAGAATATAATATCTAGTATTAATTAGGAATCATGGATATGAGGTGTGTTCATTTTTGACACGTGTTGAACATCAAAATTCTTGAATCTTGACACAATTGTTGATGTGTGTTAGATGTGTCAAATGAGTCCACATGATTCCTTTTCTTTTTCTAGTTTTCTTAAAATCAAACACACTTTGGCACATAGGTATGTTACATAACAAGGGTCTTGGACTCTTCGCGCAAGTTTGAAGGAAATGAAACTAGGGGTAAATGGTTAAAATTAAAAGAAGTCATGTCTATGAATCTCTAATTTAGGATTTTTTAATTTGGAATCACTATGCATTGGCTTTAATAACTCCCCTTTATATTTTGAATACTTTGGGTCATCTTAAAATAGTTGTTAATCATTTTTATTCTTGCATCTTTTCCAAAGTAGACATGGAAAATAAATTAATTGTTATTTTTTTCTTATAAAAATATGAATTTATTTGTCACTCAAGGTATGAATAATTTATTATTCTATTCATATATGGATATAAATAGAATAATAGATACCTATTTGGTTTCTGCGTGCTTAACATGTTTGTGTCTTTATTCTTTTAAAATTAGTGTGTCAACATGTTTTTATTGTTTTGTACTTGAACCCTCGTCCTGTGTCTGTATGCGTGCTTAGTAGATTATAAACGAATCAAATGATATAGCACAAAGTTGGTGTTTTAGTCGTAATGGCAATGCTTTGGTCATTGATAATTAATGGAGGACAAAATTGGAGATTGGACATAATAAGAATTATCAGATTACTTGGAGGATAAGATTGGAATAAGAAATGTAACGGTTGTAATTCGTTATTATGATTTGTTAATTTAAAAGAATAGGTAATTAAACTTTTGTTTTGTTATTAATTATGTTGTACTATCATGGGCAAAGGTGTGAATAAAATGTAAATAGATACAAATTTTTAATGCGAAGACCATCAAGTATATTAGACATATGTGCCATTTTGACTGAGAATGTAGATGGGATGTCAAAATAAAACTTAAAATGCCAGAACTAAATTTAATTTGTGTTGATGTTTGAATTTTAGTAAGTGTGGGGTTTCATTTGTGGTTCACTTAGTAATGAATACTAGCAGAAAAATGAGGCATAGAGAAATATATATTTTTTCTTTTTAGATAAACTTTGAAGGTTGTTTTATTTATTTATTTATTTTTCTTTCCCGTGTAATAAACAATCAAAAGTTGACAGCTAATGAGAAAAAAAATTTGTTTGCCAAATTTTCCTGGCACTTTTTTTTATCTCTCTGTACAACTCTATCTCATTTCCAGACCAAAATGTTTTTTTTTGTTTTTTATTATCTTTAGCTTTCTGTGTTATATAATGTTTTTTACTTTGATGTTGCGTTCTTTTCTGTGCCAATGCATAGGAAGCGGATTTGGTTTTGGGTGGCGATGAGGGCAAAGAGTGCACCTATACCAAAGGTTATATGAAGAGGCAGGCGATTTTCTCGTGCTTGACCTGCACTCCTGATGGGAATGCCGGGGTTTGCACAGCATGTAGCTTGTCTTGCCATGATGGCCATGAGGTATTCTCAGTATAATCTTTCCGTGATACATATCTCATTAACTTATGGGTATAGATTTGTGAACACATGTCAGTGTTATTTATAGGTAGTGCTCATAGCGCTATATTTGCCAAGCATTACAATTTATCAAATGCATTTATAAGAGAGTTTCTTCAGTAAAATTAAATATTAACTTATTATGAGGCCATGAAAGTATCTATAACGTCAATCTATCCAAGTTTAAAAATTTTAATGTTACTGCATCTATGGTTCATTTTGTTCTTTTTTGTTTGTTTGTTTTGTTTTGTTTTGTTCTGTTTTTTGTTTTTGTTTTGTGGTTTTAATTTCCAGTTGTGTTGTCGTGTTATATGGTAATCACACATGACATTTGGCATGCATTAACTACCCTTTGGGAAGAGAGAAGGGAGGAGGGGAGTGGGTGGGGTCATGTGAATATTTGTCCAAGGATCCTTGCTTATTCAAAACAAACCATTTGGATATAATGAGTCTCATTAGCCATGGTTACTGACATCTAGCTTTAATCTCCATCATAGTCCTCCTTATAGAGTTTGGTTTTCATACTTTGAACTTAACTGATTTTTCTTTTATGTTAATGACTTGAATTTCTACCTTACATATTACTTCAAATTTAAATGAAACCCATTATATCCGTGACAGTGTGGTTACTTCATAATACAGTACTAGTATTGGCTTAATCGCTTATATTCCGTTTGTCATTTTATTAATGGAGAGGACCTGTAATGATGTGCATTCATATCTCTGCATCACTGCTTGCATTTGATGTGCATTCGTATCACTGCATCACTGCTCGTATCTCTGCTCGAATCTGTTTTTTCGTTTTCTTTGTCAAATCAGATTTTTTATTAAATATGCAATCTTGTCATTCATACCTTGTGTTGTATAATCTCGGATCTTGTCGTATTACTTTTTGCTTGCATTTGATGGTAGTTACTTTTTGCTATTTGGAGTAGATTGTGGAATTGTGGACCAAGAGAAACTTTAGGTGTGATTGTGGAAACTCAAAGTTTGGGGAGTTCTTTTGCAAGCTTTTCCCAAACAAAGATATCGAAAATGTGGAGAATTCATATAATCATAACTTCAAAGGTTCATATTGCACCTGCGGTCGCCCCTATCCTGATCCAGAAGCCGAGGAACAGGTAGAGATGATTCAGTGCTGTATTTGTGAGGACTGGTTTCATGAGGAACATATTGGGCTTGAATCTTCTGATGAGGTTGGTAGTATATCTCTTTCACATGTCTTTCAATCCTTTTCTATAAGGCTGCCTTCTAGTTTAATTTTGTTTATATCTTATATCTGTAGAAGTCATTCCAATGATTGCATGCCCAGCGGTAAAAGGAGTGGAGTTTTATAGGGGAGAATTATCCATGGTGCCATATTAGATAACTGGCATAAGAGGAAAAAGTTGTTAGTTGGGTGATAAATTTCATATTAGTCCCTATAAAACCTATCACTGAGTAGATTTTAATTAGTGAAGGGAATGTGTTATGCATGTGTTGTAAGGTTGTAGATTTTATTTTATTGTAATTAAACAGGAGGCACTTTTTTCCATACCTTTTTTCTTGGTATCCATATAATTTTGTGTTTCCATATTGTATTTAAGTTATTGCGAAGTTTGATCATTGTAATATATATGTAATGCGGTTATACACTGTTTCGAAGTTTATTCATTCATCCTTCGATATTTAAAAAAAAAACATAAAAAATCCAAATTTTAAGAAGGACTTAAATCCTGCATCTTCTTGATAATAGCTGATGTAAAATTCAATTTATGAGCCTTGTTCTAAACCTCTATATTTCATGCCTCTTTTTCATGGACTGTATCTTTGTTTGAGGTTTGCCCGTCATACACCTATTAAAAGGTCCTAGTGAGTGTCAATCTGGTTATCAGCTTTTCCTTCCACAGTTTTATAACTTTTGGGACCTGGCCTGGTTATACTGCCCTATAGGCTATGTTGTAGGCAGGGTATCATATACAATTGTTTTTGTACAAGTCCTCTTTTTTTTCCGCTACACTTGTTTTTGTATAGCTCACTCATGTTCATATTATTATCTACTCAGACCAGCAGTCTTGTCACAACTACGTGGGGTGTTTTGCCAATATTTACACTTTTATCTACATTTAAATCTAAATATTTAAGTTTTTTGCCAAAATGGTAGTTTCCTTTTGCCCCACAGTATGTATTAATTTTCACTGGAGTTATCTTCTGACCTTTAATTTGTTTTGCTATTTTTACAGATTCCAAGAGATGAGGAAGGGGAGCCTTTATATGAGGATTTTATTTGCCAGGTCTGCTCAGCAGTTTGTTCTTTCTTGACCCTTTATCCTCAAACCATTTGGGCGGCAATAAGGCAACATGAGACCACTAAGGCTACCCCTACAAATGTTACCAAAGATAAAGCTGTGCTGGAAGATGCACCTACACCTTGTGGGTCCTCTGAGAAGCTTGATAATAGAATTTCTTCTTCAGAATCTACCAAAGTAAATTGTCCCGTGACTGTGGCTAGTTCTGAAACAGTGTCTGTTGGGAAGGATTTGCTTGTCGGTGAAAACTCTGGCAAAAATACAGATTCAAATCAATGCATTCAGGGTGCTGGTCCAAGCACTCAATGTGTTGTCAGAGTTGATCTGGTTGTATCTCCACCTCTTGTAGAGAAGAGTAAACCAATGTTTCTTTCTAAAAACTGGAGAGATGTTCTCTGCAGATGCGAAAAATGTGGAAACTTCTATACCCAAAAGGGGATTGGTTTCTTGCTCGACAAGGAGGACTCTATCGCGGAATATGAAAAAATGGCAAAGGAGAAGAGGGATGAGAAGCTGCAGCAACAGGAGGGTGTTGAGTTAAATTTTCTCAATAAACTTGGTCATGTGGAGAAAATGGAGATCCTGAATGGCATTGCTGACATGAAGAATGAGATTCATTCTTTCCTGGTATGTCCTTGGTTTCAGATTGTAAAGCTGAAGTCGTAAGAGTTAGAATTTTGCTTTCAATTCCTTAGTATTTTCTGACAAGTGTATTGAGCCGATATGTGCATGATATTGACAGGAGTCCTTTGACTCATCAAAGCCGATCACATCAGAAGATGTCCACCAAGTTTTTGAGAATCTTGCCAAGAAGCGCCGACGAATGCCTTAAGTTATCTCTGGATCTTTCTTGCAGTTCTCGTTGTATTTATCGATCTTGCGTATCCTTTGTTACCTTAGAAACTGGTCCAGCCAGGTTCAGAAACATCATGAAGCATGCATATTTACTGTTTTAAGTCTGAGGACTCAAACTGCCAACTTGTGGACTTGTGTAAGTATTAACATCAAGAATCTTATTAGGCTTTTGTGCTATTTAACTGCAGGTTTTGCAAATTTTATGAAGGCCTATGGAGCCTAAGGATTGCATTTTAACTGTTGCTATTAAATTTTATTTTCCCTAGGATTTGTTTATGTTCTTCACATCATTTCCATGGGAAATTTTGGATGTGTGATTGCGCTCACCAAAATTTTCATGTCCTTGTTGCTTAGACTTACTGGTTGGATGGGTTACGCTGAAACCCTGACAGTGCTCTAGGGGAAGTAGTGTGATGGTTTGGGTGAGGTTGATTGCTTCATGCTAGGACTAGGGTGATAAAAATAAGCCGATTTCCCCCAAATTCGAGTAGTCTGAACCAAAGTAGTCTGGACCGATTTGGTTAGGGAAAGGCATTTAGATCATTCTCCAGTAATGCCATTAGTTGAGCAATGAAGAATTTGAGAAGAATTTAGATGGAAAAGGAAGGACAAAGGAAGAAAGGAAAGGGGAATGAAATAGTTGTCATCATTATTATTATTTTTGTTTCTTTTTTCTTTTCTTTTAACAAAATTACACTCGAATATATGATCAGTCGCAAAGTTTGACGTGATCTTTTGTTTTTTTTTCTTCAAAAAAGGTCATGCTTCTTGGACTTTGTATTGTGGACTCTAACCAGTATAAATTTCTATCCGCTAATTGTGGATTAAATTTTAAAATTTATATTTTATTTTTGAAATTGTTTTGTTTATATATATGTATTTTTTAATTTTTAATGAAATATTAAATTAAAAATGAGTGTGAGAAAGATTTAAAATGTAAAATTTGTTATAAATTAATAGTTATATATATATGTAAAATTAGTTTGTGTTATATATATATATATATATATATATATATGAAAAATATTATGAAAAATATTATGTAAATTTAGTGTAATATATTATGTAAATATTTGATAATTGGTTAATAGCATTTTTCAATTTGTCAATTTTTTTTTCAAATCATCCAAATCGTGATTTGATTATTTGTTAATTTGTTATTTGATTTATGATTTTACTCTCAAATTATTTGAATTATACTGTACACCGTACTAGGTATACAGAATTTGGCTAAATGAACTAGTTTCTTTTTCTTTATTTTTTCTTTTTACTTAAAAATGAGCTAGTTTGAGTTAGTTAAAAAAAGTTAATTCTTACCCTGTATCCACGGTAGGAATTCGATAACATATACGCATAATAAGAATTTAGACAGAACATTCAATTCAATCAGAAAGGAGAAAAATCATAAACACACTCATCGTGAGTGTCTTTGGGTGTAAAAATAAATGTATTTTGTAGAGTAAAAAGTAGATGATGACCCAGCAGCACCACACGTTTCACATCGACGTTGTTTTCTGCACTGTAAAATTTAGTCAAAGGTAAGAAATGAAAATTTGAGCCGCCAAAAAGAACATAAAAAAAAATCCAAGAAAGATTTTGTCCCGTGAGTAGTGGTAGTTGTTTAAAAGGTACCCCACAAAAAAAAAAAAAAAAAAATTTGTAGAAAAAGAAAATAATAATACGATCACTCTATATTTTAATCTTCACGGATTTTCCTTTGCTATTTTTGACCATATTGTATGAATATTTCAGTATATATATATATATATATATAATTTGGATAAGATTGAAAATGATGAGACTGTTGATTGTGGGAGATAAATTATGCTATAGAATTAGATGAGATGAAATAATGTGTAGAACTATGAAAAAAATTATATTGATTTTGATAGTCATTGTTATATGATTTTATTATAATTGTTTTCAAATAAATTGATCAGCAATAATAGAGGGCCCGAATTTCTCAGGCTTGAATGGCTCGAATATTGTGGCCACTAAACATTTTTCTAAATTGATAGACTATTTTTAAGATTATAGTTGTTCACTTTTAAAAAAATAAATATAATGAAATAATATGACGTTGATTATAGTTGTTAAATGATTTACGTATAAGAGCATCTCTAGCAACAAATTATAAAAGTTGCCAAAGCCAAAGTCAAAATATAGTTATAGTTCTAAAAAATGCTGTTCTAACTGCCTGTTAAAATTTTTGCCAAATTATAACTTTGTTGTATCTTGTGTTAAATTTGGCACAAGTTTTATTTATAGTTAAAGTTGTTAGCACAACAAATAGTGAGAGAAAGACAACAAATTTGGACGACTGCCTGAACGACTTTCCAAACAACCTACACGTCGACTGGGCTTGCAAAATTGTGTTGTGATGCATTCTAGTGTGCTTGTCAAATGGAGGGAAAGTTGGAACAATAATGCTACACTTGTCATTTTTTTCATACCACTCATGTTTATATCAAATGATGTGTTAATATATGAGGTAGTACATTGAAGGTGGTATAAAAAGATGGTAAGTGTAACATTACTCAAGTTGGAATTGCTACAAAATAGCAATTTGACCACCATTGAGGCAATATTGTTATCCTATAACTATTTTACATTATTCATTACTAAATTATAACTTTAACTATTTATTTTACCTATTCACCGTTAGAATTGCTCTAAGCCTTGACAAAATGAATGGTCCACATGGTCTTCACTTTCTATCCCTATTTAATATTGGAAAAAAACTATGAATCAAAATCACTTTGGTACTGATATATTTGACGCGGGGTTACTTAAGGGCCCCAAACCACCATTTAACAATTGTCTTGAGATCATCTGTTAATTAAAAATAAAATATAAAATTTTCAATTATTATTTATTAAATAATAAGTGGACAAGAGTAGGTTGTTAAATGTTCTTGAAAAAATGGGGAAAGGCTGTGTCCCCCATTGTCCCAACGGTCAAAAAAGTCATACAAAATTTTAAAAAAAAGGACTTGCCTCTCCTCTAGTTCTTACCTAAAATATGGAGACTGTCGAGTGAACATCAATGTCCACCGATCTCTGAAAGCGAAACAAATCCTTATTTATTAATTTATTTTGAGATTATTTTCTTGCTCAAGCTAAAATAAGATTGCATGCACATAAACACTTAAGTAAGGTTTGATTTATGGATAGAATTAAGTGGAATAAGTTGTTTAAGGAATATACTTTCGAAATAACTTATTTTTGAGAGAAATTTTTAATTTTTTTTTTATTTATAAAAATATTGTCTCCAGGTAAGTTATTTCATCCCTTCTCAACAAAATGAGTATCTATCCATTAGGGAAGCGTGAACCTTGATAAATACTAAAAATTAAATATTTAATTGTAGATCTAATTTCCTAATATGCTGATAGGGGTTGCACCTGAAGGTGGGGAGAGATTAGGAAGACTTGTCCCAACGTGAATTTTAAAATAAAGATATTTTTGATATTTCATAATTATGCTATATATGTTTTTTAATATTATTTATTTATAAGTGGAGCGTCATTCTTTCATGTTATAATGAAATCCCAGCAATAATTTGGGATGAATTACATAAATTTTGATATTAATGTATGTGATTAGGTTCTTATTTAATTAATCTTTAGATAAAAAAAAAAATTTTGAACTAAGGCTTAGTTTGACATAATCTAAAAAAGTCAAAAAGTCACTATCCTATTTAAGTCACATCATTTTATTTAAATCACATCCCTATTTAAGTCACATCATCTCTCTACTACATCAATTCAAATCCAATCAATATTTTACATTTTTTCGTAAAAAATCAAAAAATATATTTATTTAGATCATCTCAGACAATCTTTTAATATAAAATTATTTAATTCAATTCTATTATTTCATCTACCAATCAAATGTGATGGCCTTTGAAGTTGTCAAAGTTGTGTTAAAATTTTAAACATAATTGAGTAGTATTATATAGGGGTGCAACTTGTACGGGCTCAAACCGAGCAATCTGAGCCTAGCCTAGTTTTTTTAGGGCTTGGATAAAATATTTTTAAATTCGGTATGGGCTTGGGCAAAAATTTAGAAGCCTGAATTAAATTTGGGCGGGCTTGGGCAAAGACGTCAAACAACTCGAGCAACCCGAAACCCGAATTATACATATATAGATATATAAAAATATTAAATATACATATAAATTATTAGCCATTACATGATATTAAAGTAATTTAATTATTAAATCATATTGAATGTATATTTTATATACAAATAACATAAAATCTTAATTTTTTTTCTTTTTATTTTCACTCATAAATTGTAAGGACTACTATAGTAGCATATCTCTTACATTATATAAATTATTTATTTTGATGGTATTAATGATTTTCTATAAAAAATAAAAAATCAAATTTAAATAGGGTCAAATTTTAATAATTTAATAATGTAGCTGAAAAAAAAAAATTAAAATTCATTTACAATTTGGGCAATTCGGGCAAATCAGGTTTAACTTGGGTCGGGTTTGGGCAGATATTCTCGGGTTACAATTTGGGCTTGGGCAGGTCTCAGCACAACTTGGGCTGGGCTTGAACAACCTCTCAACCCGACCGAATCCGCCCAAGTTGCACCCCTAGTATTATATAAATAGAAAAGTTATACATAAATCTAATATAGAATAATTTAATAAGTTTTGATTTATATATATATAGATATATTTTTTTTTAATTCTAAAACAGAAGACTCATCAAAATAATTTATATACTAAAAAATATCGCAAAATTTCGTATTAAGGCCAAGTTTAGGGTATGTAAAAAAAGTCAAAAAGTTATTCAAAAAGTTAAAAAGTTAACACTATTCACCAAAAGTCAACAATTACGGCTGCACAACTCCCAATTCTAATTTTCCTCTACAAACTAATTTTTACAATTTTTTATTACACATTTTTTCATGAAAAGTCAAAAAGTTAACCCAAACATCCATATTTTTTCCCTTAACTTTTTAATCCAAAAAGACAAAAAAATGCACTTATTTAGGACATCCCAAACAACCCCTAAGCATCCCTATCCAAGTAATACTATACAGTGTGTTTGGTTTTAATTTTCTGAATTCAGTTTTTTGAAAACTGAGTTTTTTAGTTTTCGTATTTTTTTGTTTGTAGTGAATATTTTTAAAGTTTTAAATATTTTTTTTTACTTTTTTAGATGTACCTTACTTAGATGTATCTAAGAAGTACAAAAATTGTGAAAAAATATTTTAAAAAATTAATAAATACATAAAAATATAAAAAATGTACTGAAT